CCGGCTTCTGTCGCATATTATTTTTAAAAACTATATCCGTACAGTAGACCATGCGCTAGACTTGCTAAGCCAAATAGGAAAGATAGTTCGGGTACGGTTTGGGCATTATTGGTATTGGACACTCATAACAGGGGTCATACCATATACATAGGGTGTATGGTGTCGTGCATAGGGCACGGGTTCACGCCGTGGAAGCCACCTGCGTCCGATTCTGCATTCGATTTCCCTAAATCTATCTTGACAATGAACCCACGTGAACGAGAAATGAGATTGTTTAATGGATACCGCACAAGTCATCGACCCACTGCTCGCCCACCGGTGGACATCGTCGGAAACGATGATCGAGACTGTCAGATTTGTATGAAATTAGCTCTGTTACCCTTAAACCTAGACAAAATTGCTGGATTATTATTGTGGATGGGTTGTCTCCTTTCAATATGACTGTGTGTCAAACCTCCGTAAAGCTAACTAGAAATTTGGTAAAAGACAGTTTTTTTTTTAATTCTGTGTTTTTCCAACTTTCAGAACGGATCCAGGGTCGTGCATCCTCAGTATCCGCAATGGGTACATGCTCCAGACTACGACGTGAAGGACATACTCTATTCTAACGGTGATGGGGAAGTTTTTTATCTTACTAGTGGACATGATCCCAAGGAATTGCATCTTTACGTGTGAGTCCCGTCCCTTCTCGCTTCAACCTAAAGGCTTTGACCGCAAATATGTTGCTACTTTTTATTTTAAGTAGACATTTACCATAAATAATTTTTTTTGCCCTTTAGGTCGGTAAACAGCACCTCAGGCATCTGCCTCACCTGTGATGATCCAGGTTGCAGATTCAGTAGCTCCAGGGTTTCCGACGACGGTCAGTTAGTTCTACAGGAATGCCTGGGCCTTGATGTTCCAACCACTGTGATCAAACGCATTCGACGCTCAACGTCCTCTACTGAAGGTCCGTTCATAAATCCTCCTTACACGATTGGTAAACATCGTTTTAGCCAGTACGGTTTTATAATCCCTGCTATCGATACCTTGTCTGGATGAGCAAATGCTTTGGCTGATCTCGAGCGGACGCATACGTTGACTGTGTTTCCTAGCCTGTACGTTTGGCCGCGACTTTTGAATTCTGTCGCAGTATCCTGTAAAGACTAGCCTAGTTTATCTGTTGTGATAATCCGAGGACTGATAGTCATACTCAGGAGTTCCATTGCACTTCAACCCACATGGGATTCAATCCGCCCGTCTTTATTTTTATAAAAGGTTCCTGGCGTTAGGTTATGTGTGGCTCGCGTAGACGGGGCGTTTAGCGTTGTCAGCCGCTGTGTCCAAGCCCGCCTCTCGTCGTCTTGACTCTGTCTTGGCACCAGCTTCCGAAGAACTGGAGAGGGGAGAATGGGATAGATGCTGCGTATGTTAACCAGAATCATAAACTACTAGATGCGCAAATGCCACCTCTGCGTCCACTATGCCATAGGTCAAACGGTAGACATCGTCGTCCGCGACTACGTCATCGCGGCGTACCTACTCAGCCATTAGGTGAAGGTGCTTATGAAGATCAAATTAGAGACTGCGACCGTCGTTAAATATATAATACCTGACTACTTAGTAATTTAAGTAGATGTTTGTCATATACCCTAATTTCTAGGGACAGATATGTTTCTGTTTCGTATAAACTGAAAGGCAGGCATCTCAAGAAATGTAATTTCAAGGAAAAGCGTCCTTGAGATATGTTCCTCTTCGTATTACTAGTTTCACTTAATGCTGAAAGTGCGATGATTAACCTCTGGTTTTCCTACAGGTCTTCCGCCGGTATATCTCGAAACCGTCGCCATCATATCAAACAATTCGTTACTTAAGGAGGCGTATGCCAAACGTGCGATGCCAGTAACAAAGTTTGAGCAGGTGACCATTCGACGTGGAACGAAGGAGGAACTTACTCTCGAAGTTAAATTCATGCATCCGCCAGAGCTAGTTGAGACCCATATCGTCACATATCCCCTACTTCTCGTCACGTAGGTCTTACAGCAATAATATTTCTTTATCATATTAGTATTCTGTAATAGAAATACTATATTATTTATTGTATTACTGAAATGGAGGTATCCCAAGATAGTTAATTATCTATATATATAACGA